ATCGATAAATTAAAATCAAAAAACAATTTTGATTTTGATAAAAATAATGTCGTGTACATATTCCCGTCTCCTAGCTGTCTTTTTTTGAATAATTTTGAAAATTACAAAGAATTGTTTATCCCAAAGTACCAACTAGATCCAAAGAGGAAAACCCTCAAAGCTATCTTCGACGTTTAATGTTGATGAGTTTTTTCTGCTTAAAAACATTTTGATCGACTTTAAAAGCTCWATCTTRTAAAATATTTACATTCATCGCTCCACTCAGACTCTGAAATGTTCTTTAATCTCAAAGGTTATATATTACTATRAACAAAAATGTTAAATTATATGCTACACTTGGCAAACTGCCTTTTTATAAATTATAATGATAAATAATTACATTTAATGATTTAAACACTAACTCAACAAGATTAATATTATTAAYAGTAAGTACATAACTTACTTCCTAATTCGATAACTAAAATCCTGCGGCCACCTTGGTCACGTTTAGGTAAAACATGCAGTATATCGTGATCGAAAATGTTTTTCTCAGTCTTGGGCGAAAGTCCATCGTATATATTAGAATGTTTTACTTTGAACTGATAGTATTGTTTGATCTGTAGATGAAATTAAGTTGTATATTATATTGCAGTAATTGATTAAATATTATATAATCGAATCCAATAACCGATAGTTTATTACCAGCTTGTATGCGCTTTCCGGATAGTATTTCGTTGGACGAAGAAAGCGAATAAGCCACGCTTTATTGTCGATGGGCACTTTTAGATCATTGTCCTCTAAAATATAATAATAACAACAATGTTTACAAAAAGCATTTTATTTATTTAKCGTAATAACTAAGAACAAAAGTGKAATATAATATTTCAATATCAGTTATTTTATAAACAATTGAATAACCCTTATCACTTGGCTATGTATGTATAGGGTACCTACATTCATTATTGAGTACTNAATTTTCAATATTGTATGATACATAAATAATTTAAGAAATATACTCATGTCAGCGAATTCTCAAAAATCATATTTTTAAATAATTTATTACGTTCCAAATGAATTTAACCAAAAAAACATATTGAATCATAAAAAATTCTAAAAACAAACTACTTGACTTAGAGTAGGTAGTATGAAATTTTTAATTTAACCCTGGTTAAGGTCAAGATGCGGATCAGAAGGGTCAGGGTCAGGCTTTAGAATCGACTATTTCATACTGCTACTTAGATAAATCTTTTTACCATAAACATTTTTCTTATAATCAAATTCACAAATAGGCTATTTTGAATTTATCCAAAAAATGTATTATTAAATTTACATTTTTTTATTTCAGCACTAAAATATATATATTTTTAAAAATATATTATACATGTAGCGCTAGGGTTACTTTATGAAAATAAAAATAAATAAAAAATATTAATTTGAACAAAAGTTATTCCAAAAGTCAGTTCTATATAACCTAACCTATACTGTAGTCACCAATCAGAAATCTCAAACATAATATTATCAACTGTACTTACTAATTATATGATATAGATTATTATTTACAATTTATAACTATGTACCTATACGAATTATTATCATTATATATTTTTAAATTTATAGATTCTCCTTACTAATCAACTATAAAACATATTGGTTTTTTAGGCCATGTACTTTAAACATAATATATAGGTTATAATGTTACAAACCCATTTTTCTAAAATAATAATACATAATAAGTACCWAATTAAATTGTTATAAATATGATCATTGACCAATGTACCATCGTGACTTTAATAGAGCTTGATATCTAAAAATACCTAACTAGTTATATATTGTACTAGATATTATATATATAATGTGTATACTATATTATAAACTTATAAATAACTATTTACAAAATGTCTGTTTTAAATATTTTTTGATTCTTACCTTTGGATCTATAGGTTTTTAAATATTTCTTTTATTGAGTTTATGCAACTTTACGAGGATGAAAAATGTGAACGATTAATCAAAGCTTAGAGTTCGTAAGAAAATCATTGTTTTGTATAAAAATCATATATTTTGTGATTTTTTCTAGCAACACTTTTTTTTTTTAGGTCAAAACAGTTATTTTATATGAGAATTATAAAAATTTAAAATCATTCAATTATTTACATTTTTTATATTTAAATAATTTACTTTTTACAAAAGAAATAGTACAGAACAATTATTTACTGTTTTTACTGAAATATTAAAAAAAAAAAAGGAAATCATA